CCACTTCTAACCCACTCTTGTTTGAACATTGCTCTATCCCATCTCTGGCAGATGGGAGATAAGGTGTTAAGAGTGGGGAATGTGTGACCTTCCAGATGTTCCAATTCCCACCATCCTTGACCACTGACCTAGCTGATGGGAGCTGGAGTCCAGCAGGTTTCCCACCACAGACACAGCAATGCTTATGGTTCATCATGGGTGTCAGAAAAGAAGAAGCAGTTCCTGCGCTCTTCTAATTTTCAGGGACTCTGGAAACCAAGCAGTGTTCAAACATTCCTTAAAGGCATTATGAGAACAGCCTAATTTGACATCTTTAAGAGGAGATGACTGGCAACGACATTTATTTATTTAATTAAAAGGTGTATCCCAGTGTGGCAATCACACAGGGTCCCCGGACGTTTCACCATCTATTGATCCCTGTGCCATCATTTGATTTCTCGCTGCCACCACCCAGGCCATACCTGGTACAATACTGAGTCCAGTCAGGTTTAAATTGGAACATAAACTTCTGTTTATTTACTGCAGTTTAACAAGCGTGGGTTTCATAAATGGTATCGGTCAATTACAATCATAGGGTGCCTATCCAGACCTATCACTTCTGCTACCTGCTCTCACTCACTAAACCACCCCTCAGACATTTACTTGTCCTCCTAGCTCCTAACTGTTCCTGACTCAAATTATTTCACTACACTCACTCAACCTACCCACAGACTCTATCCCAATTCACTCCCACTCCAACCAACCACCCAACTCCCAACAAACTTCCCTTTCGCTCCTCCCAGAGCTGGTTTTATAGTCCCTCTGACTCCACCCCCCTGGGTTCTGATTGGGTAACTTGTTTAACTAATTCACCTCCAGCACTCTCATATGTTAAAGTCACACCCAGTACCAATTACCTGACTGGCCCACATTTCCTAGCGGGGGGGGGGGGATTATTGCAATGCTTCACCTTAATGCCATCATTATCCTTCCCCCTCCCCAGTCATATTATTATATTGTCCCATGTGCTTATTCTTTTCCTGCAAATAAGGAAGAAATGAAACAATTATTTTCCCCTGACCCTTGAACTTGTCCAGGGAAGCCCCCTCTGACCTTTTAAATAGCAGAACGGCTAACTGAATTTTGCAGTGGTTCAGGCCCATTCACACATTCTTTGCTCCCCTCATTCGGTTTCACATTTACTACAAGACTTTTCCTGTCCTTAGTTGCAGCATAAACTCATTCAAACTTGAGGAAGCTACTCAAAAGCTGCAGGCTTGGAAGTAGGGCAGGGCACTTTCACTGCTCACAATCATGAGTTTTCACTTGTGTTCAGCGCCAAGGAAAAGTGAGATGGGAAAAGGTAATGGGTGATGCTATCTCACCTGTTTTGAGGCTGAGCTTTGTTGTTGAAACCAAATTCCAGCCTGCTGTGAAAAGTGCCTTTGAAACTCTGTAATGTGATCATGACTTCCACATGGTTTTGAATACGCAGTAATCATCCATATTCCATACACAGGGAATGCCATAATAATAATAATAATAATAATAATAATAATAATATATTTATACCCCACCCATCTGGCGGGTTTCCCCAGCCACTCCGTGCAGCTTTCAACAAAACATTAAAACACAATAATTCATCAGATATTAAAAGCTTCCCTAAACAGGATTGCCTTCAGATGTCTTCTAAAAGTCAGATAGTTGTTAATTTCTTTGACATCTGATGGGTGGGTGGCCCTCTGCCTGGTTCCCTGTAACTTTGCTTCTTGCAGTGCGGGAACTGCTACCTCAGTGTCTGGGCAGAACGATGGGAGTGGAGACGCTCCTTCAGGTATACAGGACAGAGCCCTGTTAGGGCTTTAAAGGTTAGCACCAACACTTTGAATTGTGCTCAGAAACGTACTGGGAGCCAATGTACATCTCAGTGGCTGCTTCCAGTCACCAGTCTAGCTGCCCCCTGAAGGGCTACTCTTTCTGTAGGGGACGCGGGTGGCGCTGTGGTCTAAAAGATTGAACCTAGGGCTTGCCGATCAGAAGGTCAGTGGTTCGAATCCTCGCAACAGGGTGAGCTACCATTATTCGGTCCCAACTCCTGCCAACCACGTCAAAGTGCAAGTAGATAAATAGGTACCACTCTGGCAGGAAGTTAAACGGTGTTTCTGTGCGCTGCTCTGGTTCGCCAGAAGTGGCTTAGTCATGCTGGCCACATGACCCGGAAGCTGTCTGTGGACAAACGCCAGCTCCCTTGGCCTATAGAATGAGATGAGCGCCGCAACCCCAGAGTCATCCGCGACTGGACCTAACAGTCAGGGGTACCTTTACCTTATTCTTTATGCTGCAGTTTTTACTGAATTGCTTACAAGAGTTACTCTTATCTGAATAAATGTCATATTTGGCTGTCTTTCTCTTGCTATGTTTGGTAGCTTTCCACGAGACATTTACAGAAGCCGCAGTGTTAAAAACAGGTTTTTATGTATAGTTACTACTATTATTTCCAACCTCAAGAAGAAATAGAGCATTCAGATCATGGCTTGTTTGGGTTCTCTTTCCCTCCTCCCCACTTGTCCACAAGAAAGTCTTAGTTCATACAGGACTGGGAGTTGGAATATTAATCTTGGAAGTACTACCATGCCTAATTGGCACAGTTACCTGCACGTAAAAGCATTTAACATATACAATATATGTGTCTGCATTTCAATGCTGAAGCTTGTTGGGACTGACCACCAGATAAGTGTGGAATGCAGCAAGAGTGGCTACTAGGGCAGTTTTTATCTGGGCTTCCTTGGACTGGAACGATGCCCCTCAAATAAATGTACCTCATAGTTATTGTGCGGGATAGGGTATAGTGGTGGTATTTAGTACATTTCAGTCAAATACTGATGCCTGCCTACAGTGGTACTATCAGGGTAGGACTCTGGGGCAGAAAACTAAGACCCAACCCAGCAGAATGAGCAGGTAAGCTCTGCATTGCAGCAGGGCTGTCTAACTACCTTTTGAAGCAAGCAAAGCAATGGAGGTACCCAGGGGGTGGTGAGGCGGGCCCCCACCAGGAGCGCAGGTGATGGGGGGCATGCAAATTCGGCTAAAAATATGTCCATAAATATAAATATTGATTATTGCCTCATAAGAATTGGTTTTGAATAGAGGGTGAATTGAATGGGGGGAGGCGTTGGAGGAGAGGTGGAAATAAGAGCTAATTTGTCTGTGGCTAGGGACCTGGCTGGCGCTGTGTGTTAAATCACAGAGCCTAGGACTTGCCGATCAGAAGGTCGGTGGTTCGAATCCCCACGACGGGGTGAGCTCCCATTGCTCGGTCCCTGCTCCTGCCCACGTAGCAGTTCGAAAGCACGTCAATGTGCAAGTAGATAAATAGGTACCCCTCCGGTGGGAAGGTAAACGGTGTTTCCGTGTGCTGCTCTGGTTCGCCAGAAGCGGCTTAGTCATGCTGGCCACATGACCCGGAAGCTGTACTCCGGCTCCCTCGGCCAATAAAGCGAGATGAACGCCGCAATCCCAGAGTCGGTCACGACTGGACCTAATGGTCAGGGGTCCCTTTACCTAGGGGCACAATCTGGATGGTTCTGCCAGGGGCGCAAGATCACCTAGCTACGGCTCTGGAGGTACCCCTGTAAGATAATTAAGTCCAGACCATAAAATTACCTCGCTCCTTCTCTGTCAGCCTACACTAGAAACTTCTATCAGTCTTAAAATACTTAAGCCACCAAGAACACCATAAAATAATATTGGGGATTTGTACTGTTGGGATGTGAATAGATGCTAGGAGATGATATATTTATTAGATATTACCCTTCCTTCCTCACGTTTTTGAGTTTAGCAGAGTGCATCCCTTTGCAGCTTAAAAGGGAAATTTAACTAAAATAGGATTACGTAATCCTGGATGCTTTAAGGCGTCCTGGGTTTTCCTGGTATTACCCTCTTTTCTCCCCTTAACACAATAATCACAAAATCAGTCTTGCAAAAGATAAAAACAACATTTACTCACTCAGAATACTTGTGGAAGAGTAACGGATACAGGAGCTTGGTTCAGGCAGGCTTAAAATTGTAGTTCTGTTACAAAGACATAGTTAAAGATAAAGGGACCCCTGACCATTAGGTCCAGTTGTGACCGACTCTGGGGTTGTGGCGCTCATCTCGCTTTACTGGCCGAGGGAGCCGGCATACAGCTTCCGGGTTATGAGGCCAGCATGACTAAGCCGCTTCTGGAGAACCAGAGCAGCGCACGGAAATGCCGTTTACCTTCCCACCAGAGTGGTACCTATTTATCTACTTGCACTTTGACGTGCTTCCGAACTGCTAGGTTGGCAGGAGCTGGGACCGAGCAACAGGAGCTCACCCCGTCATGGGGATTCGAACCACCGACCTTCTGATCGGCAAGTCCTAGGCTCTGAGGTTTAACCCACAGTGGTCTAGCTTAAAAAGGGAGTCTGAGCTTGGAGATCAGACAAGCAGATGTACTCACATTGCTGGCAGAACGGAAGGAGATGGAAAGGCGGGGTGTGTCCAGACAGGTGGGAGAATATATATAGTCTCTATCACGGAGTGCTGTCTATCAAGATTACAGGAAAACTCTGTGAACTTCAGCTCCTATCCTGTGCCTATCTAGCAAAACATGAACTGTTAGTTTGACTGCACTTTAAATGCCCCACAGTACCTTGGTGATGTTGTTGGGAGTTCTCTGCTGCAGACCACCCTCCTACAATACCTAGAATTCATTGGATGAGGGTATGTGAAGCAAAGACTATAAGTATGGACACACTCCAAAATAGGAGAAACTTCCCACTTCCCTTTTCTCAAAACTAGAAAGCCCCCAAGTCTTTCAACACAGAGATGATACTCCAGTACTGTACCTAGATGAGAAGTTCAGCCGCCCTGTACCACTCAGGTAGCTTTATCCTGCGCTTACGCCCATACTCTGAGAAGTCCAACGAATTGTTTTCGTCGCAATGTACCTGTTATTACAAGGCATGTAAAATATACAAGCGGTACTCCAGAATCATCAAAATAAGTACAGCACGCAGCAGGTGCCTCAACTTGCGGGACCTTATTAACTTCGCAGGCTGAGGAAGGAGTTTCTCTTTGAAACTGGGATCAACGGGCTCCAGTCCTGTTTGCTACAGCTGCTCCGACGCTTCCAATAATTATTGCTTCGGAGATAATGAAAATATATCATTAATTGTAAGACGTATTGTACTTATTTTGATGATTCTGGAGTACCGCTTGTATGTACTACATGCCTTGTAATAGCGGGTACATTTCGTTGTACTTTGCTTGCCATATATTCGTTGTACTTTGCTTGCCATATATTGTGTCTTTGTATACTGGCCCGAACCCCTGGTTTTTCTATTTGTGTATGTTTTCATACAGCGGGTTCCTTATTTTTGTGCAAACTCTGAGAAGCGCAGGCCGGCCAGTTCCTCGGGAAAGGCGCGGAGTCAACTTGCGCTTCACGGTTTGGGGCTTTAGGAATCTCACGTTCATAGTTAATACTTTTATATTTCCTAGTTATTTAACTTCTCCCTAGACGCCTTTCTCTCCCGCCGCCCGCCACTTCCCCAACAGAAGCTCGGTTCTTCTTCTTCTGTTTTATTTTATTCCTTAGTTTGGGCTCTAATTAATTTTTTAAGTATCTTTTTATTCCTCCTCCTGCTGGGAAATGGTTCTAGTTTAGCCCTATATACTTTTCTCCCCCTCCGTTTTTTTTCCCTTTTCGCCCTATCTGGAGCGGCGGTTCAATAAATAACTTTAATGAGGATGGTTTAATTGCTTTTGGATGCGGACTGCAGACGAAACGTTTGGCTGAATTATTTCTTCGGGAGGAGAGTCTGAGTTTACTTTCCTTATCCAGGCTGCCAAAACTGTCTTCATAAATACTCTCAATCTTCTCTCTCTCTCTCTCTCTCTCTCTCTCTCTCTTTAAGTGACTCTGGCGTGTGTGCTTGGAGGGGGTGGGGAGATCATTGGAAAGATGCTTAGCATTTTTTTCTTTATTTAGCATTCCCCATTCTGTTCTGGAAGACGCCTCTAACCTGAGAAATGTATTCCATTTGAAAGTTTCTTTGCTGAGCCTGAGACTCCTTAATCAAGAATTGCCCCCCACCCCCGTAATGTTAATCCTCCCACCCTTTCGTCCTTTTCACTCCCTTTTCCCGCCTAATTTTAAGTTCCGCGTAAATCCAGCAAAATAAACATGTCAGCTGGGGAGACTAACAAGTCAGGCCGCCGTGAGTAACTGCCCTGCCGATCTGACAAATACGGTAGATTATGAGCCGGAGTGCGCCATCCATTTGAGAGAGACAGAGGGACTGAGTAGGGCTCCCTGTTGGCTTGGGAGAGAGAGGGTAGCTTTAAAATTGATGGCTCTGTGCGGCCCGTTATTATTAATAATAAAACGTCTCCAGCCTGGTGAGTAATCTTGAAAAGGGCTTTTTGAGTGGTGGGCTCTGAAATGAGTTACCGCTTTCCCACGGGACGCGGGCTGAATCTGGGAATTGGAGAATTCGTAGGACCGGAAGGAAGAAAGGAAGATCCTATATGTACTAAAAGCGAGCTGCCTTATCCAGTGGAGGATGGTCCATTAGGGCATGTGGGGCGCTGCCCCACCAACTTCCGTCGTCCCTCAGTCAGCCCACACCTGCCTGTTTTCTCTTTTGCTGTCAACTTCCACTTCCTCAGTTTCTGTAAAACTCAAGAGCAGGCATAGGCAAACTCGGCCCCCCCATATCTTTTGGGACTACAACTCCCATCACCCCTAGCTAACAGGACCAGTGGTCAGGGATGATGGGAGTTGTAGTCCCATAACATCTGGAGGGCCGAGTTTGCCTATGCCTGCTCATGAGGGAGGAGGATGCCAAACTAGAATTAATTGGCTGTGCTCTCTGGGGCCACCTAATGGTAGGCTCCCTGTCTTCCTCCCTACCGGGTCTAATGGACACCAGCCACCATTGCAGTTATCCTAGCGTGGATTCTTATGCACCCCAAAAGGCATAATCTTTGCAGAAGGAGGAGGTGTCTGCAGGCTTAGGAGAACCTAGGGAGAAGTGGCAATGCTTAGTGGTTTGGGAACGCTGACTGGCTATGGAAGGAGGTTAATGGAATGGGGTGTCCCGGGAAAGGGCATGGTTGGGTGGAGCCCAGAGCAGGAGTGCTCCACACAGCAACATTATGTTGCATGACTATGGAGGCCCAAATTAAGGTCTGTTGAATATCAGGGAAAGTGGGACATGGGATTGGGTAGAGTGGAAGAAAAATGCATTAATGGACAAACATGGACCAAGGTAGCCTTTCAAACATTGGTGGTTTAATTGATCAGGACTAGAATATCTGCTTTACTTAAACCAGCTAAGGGAAGTTCAGGGTCTTCACCATTGGGAGACAATGAAAGGTTGGCATACTACCACACCATGATTTACAGGATTGCAACTAACCTTCAGTAGAAATTATTATGTCAGGCCCTTAGAGAGAGTCATTAGGTGAATGCAGCACAATTCAATAAAATCTACTCAGAACTAAGTCCCACTGAATTTAATGGGGCTTAACTCCAGTTAAGTGAGCATAGGATTTGTGGGAAGATGTGCAGGTAAATCACAAATGCATGATTGCTAGATAGTCATATCCTCTAAACTTCTGTGGCAGAAGGGAAACAACACAAACTTAATATATCCTTCTTCCTGTTGCTAAACACTCCTTTTCTTACCTCCAGTGGGGCAGGATGTCTGTTAGCTCTCCTCCAAAGAACACACTCAATTTTGAACTGGACTATGGACTTCTGCGACCTTTACGGATTATTGGCTGCCTGGTTTTCATCACTGTAACTGTTGAATCCCAGCAAAACGTTTGAGGTGAGTAAACCTTATATTTTCTAGTTAATAGTCAGAGAGTGATTTCTTTGCTAAAAGAGAAACATAAATGGGAGAAGATAATAATCTAAGTCGGCCTAAAACATCCTTGGGTATCATAATTGTTATAAAAGGTTATGCAACCTTGGCCTAATAGCTTATAGAGAGATAAGCTGCACACAGGTGGTGATTTTAAGTCTGCTGAAATAGCTATGTGCATGTTTATGCAAGTGAGAAAGGGTAAAGATAATTAATAAATAAGATATCATCTCCTACTCATCTAAGTCCATCCAACAGGATTGACCCTGGATTCCCATGACACTGAATGACAGTCAGTTGCTACTGTTTTTAAACAGCAGATGGGAAGAAAAAAAACCCGGAAAAGGAGAAACAAGGCGCAACTGTCCCTTTCTGTATCTGCATTTTGGTCCCAGATTAGGATGCGTTGGTTTTTTCAGGCCTATGGAAAGGAATAATGTGAGACCTAGACAGCTGTTGGGTTGTTTGATCTTCTGATTATCTGATGCTTTGGGTTGGTTGTGGTTATATTTGTTTTATCTTTTGTTGGTTTTATGGTCCTTGTATTGATTTGTGCAATTTAATAGATGGTTGTGCACCACCCTGGGAATGTTGGGGGTCGAAGGACCGAATACAAGTGTCATTTATTCATTTATTCATTCAATTTATACCCTACCCATCCTCCCAAGCAGCCTGGGGAAGCGATAGATAGACAGATAGATAGATCCTTCACTTCGCTGGTTACGTCAATTCAGATGGAGGTCAGAGTACTGTAGTTCACTTCAGTATGCTGAAGGCATTGCTTAAAAAAACAACAAACTACAACAGTGTAGTCATTAACAGTTTAAGGACCCTTGGGTCTTTTATTATTTTTTAAAGTATTGTTCAAACTGTGTCCAGGATCCGCACACCCACTGAAGGGACTTTTCACCTCTTTAGTAATACATAGAAGACTGCTGAAGTCAAACAGGTTAATCCCCATAGAGTTATGGAAGGGAGATAATTCAGGAGTAGCCAACATTGTGCCCTCCAGATGTTTTGGACTACAACTCCCATCAGACCTGACCATACTGGCTGAGAGTGCTGGGAGTTGATAGTCCACAGCACCTAGAGGGCACTGCATTGCTTACCTGGGTTAATGAAAGGAACAAACGCGATCAAAAGGTTTAGCTTGGAGCCAGGCAAAAACATTCCTTTATAACCAGGGCTTTGGCTGATTAAACACTGTGTGGTTTTTAAAGGTGTTTGTGAGAGATGGGGGTATTGGGTTGTGTCTTTTTCTGTCTGTCTGTTTTTATTATGATACGTATTTTGTGTTTTCATGCTGTAAACTGCCCTGTAACACCCCCCGTGATCTTCGGATGAAAGGCAGTATATAAATTTAATAAAAAATAAAAAAGGTTTGGGACATTTGCAGTGCAATCATGTCTACTCAGAAGTCCTAATTAATTCAATGGGGATTTCTCCTGGGTAAACGGGGTTAGGTTCGCAGCAGGAGACTTCAGTTCTAAACATGCTTACTAGGAGGCCTATTTAATACAGTGGTACCTCGGGTTAAGTATTTAATTCATTCCGGAGGTCTGTTCTTAACCCGAAACTGTTCTTAACCTGAAGCACCGCTTTAGCTAATGGGGCCTCCCGCTGCCGCCGCGCCGCCGCTGCACGATTTCTGTTCTCATCCTGAAGCAAAGTTCTTAACCTGAAGCACTATTTCTGGGTTAGCAGAGTCTGTAACCTGAAGCGTCTGTAACCCGAGGTACCACTGTACAGTGAGATTACCTTGAAGTCAATATTGTTACAAAAGTCGGGTGTTTCCCGCTCTCTCTGCCAAACAGTGGCCAGAGCCCATGGGGTTCCATGCACTCCCTCAGGGTTTGTGCTCCATCGGAGAATGGAAGATGCTGCGGGGACTGCCGTAGCTTTAAGAAATTTGGTGTATTCACATATTTACACCTTCAGTGTGCATGGAGGCAGTCCAGATCTTACAGCACGATCATCTCAAGAGGGGTTTGTCTCCTGCAGCAGTCCAGTCGAAAGCATCTCTCCATTCTCCTGTTCCTAAACACCAAGTCTCTTTTATTCCGTTGCATTCTAGTGGTCAGGTCTTTTGATGTTTTGAAGTACTAATGACTAATCTCAGGAGTTTGCTGAGTTCATCAGCACTTGTAGGATTAAGGACTGGTACACAATTAGGACATTTACATAGTTTAATCAACTTCACATGCTAATTGCTAATGCTCAGAAGTAGGTACACGCCTTCCAGTACACATGGATCTTGATCACATTCTCTAAGCCTGACACAGTCTTTACACATCAACATCTCACACCCCTTGCATAGCCTCCTTTCTAATACACATTGAGACGGTCTTATATCCCAGTTATACAAGTTCTAATTAAATCCTCATTTACTAAACCTAAACATTTAGCCACAGAGCTATCACAATATGAATAGGATAGCACTGTTACAAGAGTCCCGATTGTCCGGGAATATAAAACTGAGGGATTGAGCGGAACTGCCTATAGAAAAAGGAGGGAGAAACTCCTAGGTAGTTGTCAATGGAAGTGGGATGAGACGCCCTCCAATTGCCCTCCTACTCCCAGTATCAAATCTCAATGGGTTTGTTCTTTCCCAGTCCAGGGAATCTGTTGGGACAAACAGACTTCTCGAAATAGCAGAAGGAGGCGGCGGTTTCATCGTAAAATGAGAGCCGGCTTCTGAGCCAATCGACCACTGAGTCACCCTGAGGCTTGGCTCCGGGTTGACTCTACTTGGCGAAGGAGCTCGGTTTCTTTCACTAGAACAAACAGCTCGTTCTCCAGTGCCAGCTCCCTCCGCCTGACAGCTCAGCTCTCCCTGGAGGAGACCAGGGCGCTAGTTCAGATGTCAGTCGGACCAACATTCTGCAAACTCCCAGATGAAGGAAAAAGGCATTTGTTTTGCTTATATTCTTTTCAATCCTTAGGAACCCAAGAAGCTGCCTTATGCCGAATCAGACCACAGGTCCCTCTAGCTCCGTATTATCTATACAGTGGTACCTCGGGTTACAAACGCTTCAGGTTACATACACTTCAGGTTACAGACTCCGCTAACCCAGAAATAGTACCTCGGGTTAAGAACTTTGCTTCAGGATGAGAACAGAAATCGTGCTCCGGTGGCGCGGCAGCAGGAGGCCCCATTAGCTAAAGTGGTGCTTCAGGTTAAGAACAGTTTCAGGTTAAGAACGGACCTCCGGAACGAATTAAGTACTTAACCCGAGGTACCACTGTACACTGATCGATAGTGGCTCTTCAGGATTTCGAGCAGGGCTTTCCAGCCCAGCCTTACCCGGAGATAACCAGGCTCGAACCTGTAGGCAAGGCAGTTGCTCTGCTACTCAGCTACAGCTCTTCCCCAAGAACCTCAGGGAAATTATGGCAATGCGAAGAGAACAAATATTTTGAAGCAATGGACTTTGTGCCTTTAACATCATATAGTGCGCAGGCCAATCTCCTTGTTTAAAGCAATAGTCACTCCGTGAGCTGCTACCAGTGATTTCGTACGCCAACCAACCAACCAACCACATGCGTTCTGATTACTCTTCAGATTCCTTTCCCTTCTTTAAATCACATCCCTATTCTTTGGGGAACTCGTTCTTTCTATCAAGAGAAAGACAACAGAAGAAGGCAATTGTGAGGAAAGGGACTACAAATAATGTGATGATAGTCTATTATGTGGTCACATTTAGCCCTCGTTTATGAGTGCAAGTAAATTTCTGGGCTCTCTGGCTCACTCTATGAAGTCCTTTTGAAACAATCTACCCGAAAGATAAAATAAAATAACTAAGGAGCACTTGAGCGTTTGAATTTTTATTTTCTATATTTGTTTTGGTGGGGAGACGATGCGGAGGATACGAGATAGATTTAGAAAATTACGGACCGAGAGAAGCGAAGGAAATCTCTCGACCCCCCCCCCCAAAAGCCCACTTTAAAAGTGTGTGCGTTGTTACTAGACTTCGAGCAACGCAATGAAATTAGTTGGAAGAAAAATCTGAACTACCCAATACAATTGTTTCTGTGGTTGATGGCCATCATTTTTAAATGGCCCTTTAAAAACCCAGTTTAAGACAAACCCATGAAGAGTAGAACTATCAGATGGCATGGCTGTTAACAGTGAGGGATACGTGTTCAGAGAGAGTACGTATATCCCAAACAACAGGTGAAGGCGATCGTATTCAAATCCTGCTTGTAGACTTCCAGGAAGCAGCTGGCTGGCACGGGGCAACATAGAAAACTGCCTTATACAGTAATGAGTCAGAAACTGGGGACCATTTGCATGCAGGGCAGATGTTTTACCACCGAGCTATGGGACTTCGCTGTAGGAAGAGGACGCTCAGTGAGATAAACAGACCTCTGGTCTGTTCTAGCAAAGCGGGAGTGAGGTGGCGGAGACTTACTTGGGCTCCAAAGGTGTAGCGGTGGTGGTGGGAGGGTCAAGGGGATCGAAGATCTGCGACTATTTCTGCAACTGGGTATCTGTCTCCAGCGTCCTATAGCCACTCAATCAACGTGAAAAGGGAGCTTTCTTCCCACTCTTTGTGCTTAATGGAGCCAATCAGAGAGAAAGGAGACGAGTCAGCTGCTGAGGGTTATTCTGGGCAAGGTGTGCGCAATGAGAAGTTGTTCCATATGCTCCAAAGCTAAGCATTTAAGGAACACTGAAAACACAAGGTGCTTACATGTCAAGAATACAAGTGCACAAGTTCTGTACAATGGAACTTCAAGAGAAACATCATCTAAGTCCTCTGAAAAAAGTTATTGGACTACTCCAAATCATTTGCCCATGTTTGTGCACAGAAAAGAGTAGAGTAGGCTGAAAGGCAACTCATGAAGATCTGCACTGGCCATTGCAACACGCCCCCAATTATCACTATAGTATAACTGGAAGATCATTGTATAATCTTAGAAGGGGGTGCGGCTGTGAGGTTGTGTGGCTATGACTATCATGAAATGATCCTTCACTTCTGAATTTGCCACTATGCCACTGCAAACAGTAAAGTTTGCTGTATCTGAGGTGCCTCTGGTTGCAGTCGTGTCTTAGGCAACTTGAGATTCTGGACTTCATAGCCTTCCCCACCCACCCTTCTTGAGATGGAAATGTGTAGTTCTTCACTTCTTTCTAAGTGTGGTTAGCCAGCCCTGCTGCGTTGGAGGGTCCTGCTCGTTCTGCTGAGTGGGACTCTGAATTTCTACCCTCAAGTGGTGTCCTGATGGAACCACGGCTCTGCCGCGCGTGGATAGTTGGGAATGAATTTGACATGGCTCGAAAATGCCAGGAGGAGTATCTCTCTCACCCCGCCGCCTTGTACAGTATAAGGCTGCAAGCCTAACCCCATTTACCTGGGAGTAATCCCTATTTAGTTCAATGGGACTTACTTCTAAGTAGACACCATTAGGCTTGCAGCCACAGACACAAACGTTCCTCTTCTGGTGACACATAGGTCTTTTGATCACTGCAGATGGTGACAGCAGTCACGAAATTAAAAGACGCCAGCTTCTTGGGAGAAAAGCAATGGCAAACCTAGACAGCATCACCTTGCTAACAAAGGTCCGTATAGTTAAAGCTATGGTTTTCCCAGAAGTGATGTATGGAAGTGAGAGCTGGACCATAAAGAAGGCTGAATGGATGCTTTTGAAATTATGGTGTTGGAGGAGACTCTTGAGAGCCCCATGGACTGCAAGAAGATCAAACCTATCCATTCTGAAGGAAATCAGCCCTGAGTGCTCACTGGAAGGACAGATCCTGAAGCTGAGGCTCCAATACTTTGGCCACCTCATGAGAAGAGAAGAGTCCCTGGAAAAGACCCTGATGTTGGGAAAGATTGAGGGCACAAGGAGAAGGGGACGACAGAGGACGAGATGGTTGGACAGTGTTCTCGAAGCCACCGGCATGAGTTTGACCAAACTGCGGGAGACAGTGGAGGACAGGAGTGCCTGGCGTGCTCTGGTCCACGGGGTCACGAAGAGTCGGACACGACTAAACAACAACAGGTCTTTTGACACTGTGTGACACCCCGCCTTCCCTCAATACACACTTGCAACAGCAATACAACGCAATCTTGTTTCCAGGACGAGTTTTGCTTTCCTTCATCCAAATCGCATTGCAAACAATCTGGAAACAAAAGGGGCCTTCAAGGAAACTTAATGCCCCAAGGGAAGATACTAGGATGGGAAGGTAGCCCACTTGGCAAAGCCGTAGGCAGCTGGAGGAGCAGGGGCCCTGCGCCAGGATTTTGCATTCTTGCCACTGGATGCAGTTGTGGGAAGCCACGAGTGAAAGTATTTTATGGGATAAGACCGCTCGTTACATTCCCGCTGGGATATTGAGGCGAGAAGAGGAATGGGTCTTGTAGTCCCTTTTACCAATATTCGTATTATTATTTATTGGATGTATACCGTGCACCTTTCCGCAAGGAGCCCAGGGCGGCAGTGTACATACCAAAGGTGCCATCTCCCTGGGGCCCTGGGTGCCCGAGCACCCACAAAATTCCCCATGAAGGGGCTGGGCACCCGCAAATTTTAATGTCAGGGCCATGCACGCTGCATGGCACTCACGGGCCGCGGGGGCCAAGCTGGCACTCCTGGTACCACCCACTTCTAGGTATATAGCAGGGGTCAGCAAACATTTTCAGCAGGGGGCCGGTCCACTGTCCCTCAGACCTTGTGGGGGGGGGCGGACTATATTTTGAAAAAATACATAAACGAATTCCTATGCCCCACGAATAACCCAGAGATGCATTTTAAATAAAAGGACACAATCTACTCTTGTAAAAACACGTTGATTTCCGGACCGTCCGCGGGACGGATTGAGAAGGCGATTGTGCCGGATTCGGCCCCGGGCCTTAGTTTGCCTACCCATGGTATATAGGACTGGGACCGTGGAAGGAAAACCACTGTCTATTTGTACAGTACAGTGGTACCTCGGGTTAAGAGCTTAATTCGTTCCGGAGGTCCGTTCTTAACCTGAAACTGTTCTTAACCTGAAGCACCACTTTAGCTAATGGGGCCTCCTGCTGCCGCTGCGCCGCCGCTGCACGATTTCTGTTCTCATTCTGAAGCAAAGTTCTTAACCCGAGGTAATATTTCTGGGTTAGCGGAGTCTGTAACCTGAAGCGTATGTAACCTGAACCGCATGTAACCCAAGGTACCACTGTATCTTACTGCTTGGCTAAATGCCCGCCCCCGCCCGCTGAAATATCTTTTGCATTGATAGGTACTAGCAAGTCGAGAAGCTACAGGGGTATGTAAAGAGGGGCAGAGTCCTCTATGCTTGAAACTCTTTGAAGGCTCATCTTTTTCATCAGCCACGTGCTTCAGGCTTTCCTGTTGAAGTCAATGGGAAAGTTGGGCTGGACTCGACTCCCTACGCTAGCAGGGGACGGGGAGGGTTTTACGACCCGCCAGCCTGTAGGTTATAAATAACGCGCCGTGCACGTGGTTCGAAAGAGCCCATTTCTATAAAATCCAGCGCGGTGACAAACGGTCAAGGATTAAAATGAATAATATATGCCGGGCTGTATAAAAATTACAGTCTTACAAAACCAGCCTATAAATTTAAATTTCCGCTCTAGACTAGCGTGTGTGTGTTTGAGCAGCTCCAAATTGTTCCTTGACAAGACCAGCCTTGGCTTAGGAGCAGGCAGTTATCGCTAACAGAAACACACGTTTGTCCTGGGGGATGTTGCTAGGACGTCCTCAAACACACACCCCTTTACGTGTGAAGTGGAGTTGGGGTCACCAAGGCTTCAGCCACCGCAACTTTACCAGTTTTTAAGGTGCAGCAAGATGTGATAGCGCGGGCGCATATCACGTTTACTCAAAAGTAAATCCCATTGAGTTCAATGAGACCCACACTCAGAGAAGTGCGGGTCGTGTGTAATACAACTCCATATGCCTGTGAGTCAGCCCCGTTAAATTCACTAGGACTTACTTCTGAGTAGACACGTGTAGGACCCCCCGATGCTCGTGTACATTTACTTAGCGTGAAGGGATGGGGAGAAGAAGCGCCAATCGTTAAATAAATGTCTGGCGACTGTCGGGTCCACTTCCGAAGAGAAAAGGAACTCTGCCAGAAAACGCGGTGGGCTGGAGAGACGGAAATGTTGGCAACGGTATTCTGTTCACCTCCTCCCCCAACCAAATACAATTTTGTCCTTGCTTTTTGACCGGTGGGAATGTTTTGCATGAAACATCCACCAGAAGACAGGTGGCTCCTGTGACGTCACAGTGTTAGTCAGGCAAGAGGATGACGCCATGTCTCGTCTGATCTTACCACTTACCGGAGAAGGATGAAGGAGGAGAGAGGGCTAGGCTGCAGGATGCTCGCCCGGTCCTCCACTGATGCAGAGAACCTGGACTCGTGGATGCTATGACCAAACTTTTCCTGAAAGGTTAGCTCTCCGTTGCTTTGACGATCCTTCATTTTTGCTGATGTTAATTTGTGTAATTGCATGCCTATGCTAATGAAGACTAGTTTTGAACGAGGGATCATCAGAGGGATTAAAAACTAGTCCAAGCGTGAGTTTCTCTTTTGTTTACTTGGAAACTAATCCGGGCTAGAGGCTGTTGATTATGTAGCTCAGGGTGTATAGTCATTCCAGTTAAATTACCGTAACGTGGAATAGAGGAGGGCCCTGATTCCGTGTATAAAGGTGTCCTTTATAGAGAGCCAGTGTGGTGTAGTGGTTAAGAGCGGTAGTCTCCTAATCTGGGGAACCGGGTTCGCGTCTCCGCTCCTCCACATGCAGCTGCTGGGTGACCTTGGGCTAGTCAAACTTCTTTGAAGTCTCTCAGCCCCACTCACCTCACAGAGTGTTTGTTGTGGGGGAGGAAGGGAAAGGAGAATGTTAGCAGCTTTGAGACTCCTTAAAGGGAGTGAAAGGCGGGATATCAAATCCAAACTCTTCTTCTTCTTCTTCTTCTTCTTCTTCTTCTTCTTCTTCTTCTTCTTCTTCTTCTTCTTCGAATCGCTGGAATACCAGTTGTTGGGAATCACAGTTGTTGGGAGAGTACTATCGCCCTCATGGCCTGCTTGTGGGCTTCCTATTGTGGGCTGGCTTGTTGGCCACTGGGGGGACAGAGTACTGGACTCAATGGGCCTGATCTAGCAGGTCTCTTCTTAAGACAGATAAGAATGACCTGGAAGCAAATATCAGATTTGAGGAGCGTGCGGCTACCTGTTTGCGTTTACATACCGAAATGCAGTCGCGTTATTTTTTGCTCGATATGTCACAGGGCTCAGGTTAGGCCCTCTCGGAGTCAAGAACGCTTTCAATCTTAGTGATTTCTTAGGAGTCAAAACCGATTAGTTGTCTTTGCAAAGACTTATTGATGCACTTGTGAATGGTTTCTGCATAGTATCCGGGCAGGGGCTCATCCTCCCATTCTCGATGTGTTTAGCCGTCTACATCACGTCTCAACCACGCCCCCCCCGAGTGTTCTCATACACCTCTCTCTAGCAAATTTCCGGAAGGCTCTGTGAGCCTCAGCTCCCTGATGCAAAACATGAATTGTTGGTTTGACTGCATTTTAAATATCCCACAGTAGTTAGGCTTCCCAAGAAACCATAGGCAGTTTATTTTATTTTATTTTATGTATTACATTTATATACCACCTTTATCTTCTAAGGATCTCAAGGTGGTGTTCACACGTGTATCTACATAACTCTATTACGTTAAGCCAAGTTTACCAGCTGGTGCACCCAGACAAACACATATAACTTCAGGAATATATTCCCGATAAATGTGAACTGACATCATCGTTAAAAAGCGTTGCCATTTGTTCTGTTTGTGATGGGCCTATGATGATGTTCTGTGATGGCCTATTCACACGCATGCAAGTTGTCCTTTCCTGTTGCACGTGTGAAGGAGCTTCAAGTTTCACTTTTCTCTCCAGAATGTGGCACCCCCTATATCCGGGCTGCAGCTGTGCTTTCCAGAGCTCTCTGAGTCAAACATTTTTGACGCCACGCTTTGAGGTGGATTACATGTGCACATTTATCACTTGAAATTTCTTAACTCAGTAGTTCAACTGAATATGTGAATTGCTTCCTCTTAAAAAACGTTGTGTTCGAGGTACTGTAATGTGAGAAGATGGAAGACCAACTTCGGTGCTTCCTTAAGGCGTTTGGAGGAAAGAAGGGATATAAATGTAATAATACATTTTTTAAAAAAAGTTCTGCTGGTAATGGTAATGACGACTGTCCCAGACATGTTGCCTGCTGTTTATGGCTAGCCTCTTGTTTCAACAGCCAATGATGGCATTAAACAGGCCTGACAGGCTTGCATTCTTTCAAACTCGGTCATGTTTTTTAAAAACGACCATATAAACAATGCGTGCCATTGTTCTTAATATTTTATCTCGCACCATTGTTATATACGGCGCTTCGGAGAGTCATATAAGCAAAAAGCCAGATCTCTGCCCCGGGGGAGATTACAATTTAAACCGCAAGAGGCTAGGAAGACTATCCGGGAAAGCAATTACACTTACTTGGGCATGTGGACTAAAGGAGTGAAGGCAAAATTTGCAGAATGTAAAATGTGCATACCAACGGGAATTTAGAAATATCTGCAGCAGGCATTCCAAATATGACTATATTCAGCTTAATTATGTTATAGTGGTACCTCGGGTTACATACGCTTCAGGTTACAGACTCCGCTAACCCAGAAATAGTACCTTGGGTTAAGAACTTTGCTTCAGGATGAGAACAGAAATCGTGCAGCGACAGCAGGAGGCCCCATTAGCTAAAGTGGTGCTTCAGGTTAAGAACAGTTTCAGGTTAAGAACGGACCTCCGGAACGAATTAAGTTCTTAACCCGAGGTACCACTGTATTCCTTGTGATTGATTAGTTTCAAATAATTATGCAATATAGTTTTAATTAATTCTGCAACTGGTTGTTCCTTCTGCCCTCTCTTCGCATAAGGAAAGCAAAACAAAAATAGCCTCTGTCCTGCCTCTGGGTTACAGGAGGATGGGTCCATTCCTGCCAGATTAAACAAAAGGTGGGCTTCATTCCAGCGACGCGTGTTTCTTAATTCGCCCTCCTACGGTCCACGTTCTGTTGCGGAGTCAGTAGAGGAACTTGAGTGAGGAGGGCAGGAGTTGCAAAAGCAACCCCTCCTCTACTTGACATGGGAGCTAACATGAAACAAAGACGCGCTGGAAATGAATTATTATCATGCTTTTTTCAAATTAACCACGTTGTTTCCTCATTGGAGTGGCTTTTTGTTGTTGCTGCTTGTTTTTGTTTTCACTTTAAAAGTTCAATCTGGCATCAGGATGTCATCAATCTGCCTTATTATCGCCAGTCAATGAAATACACATTGGCTTTTATGATGTTGCTTCTGAAGCAAACCGAGATACACAAAAGCGGCGGGATTCAAGTAGCAACCAATAAAAAGTTACTGGTGCCGGGAAGCGGCAGACGGGTTGGAAGTGGGGAAGGGGCGCGGGGGGGGGGAGGGAGGAGAGACAGGGCCGGCGAAGATCTGCGGTCACTGTCTACCATCTGCGGTTCGGGTGAGGAGGAGGACGATGACGTCAGCGCCCTCTCAGCATCCTATTAATGCCTCGTTTTAAAAGGCCGGAATGCCGCCTCTGAGTCGGAAGGGGAGGTTGCCCCCCACCCCACCGCCAGTCACGTCCCTCCCTGATACACGACAGAGATAATGAAACCCAGGACATAGGCAGCTGAGCTGCTTTACACCGAGTCAGAGCAACTGACCCATCCCGTTTAGTGTTGTCTGCACTGATTGGCAGCTGCTTTCCAGGGTTTCAGGCAGGGGGCATTCCCAGCCCCACCTGGAGAAGCCAGGGCTTGAACCTGAGACCTTCTGCATGCTTTGGTGTTGAGCTGCAGCCTTTCACCACCAGCTTTTTTGAGCGGACAGTTTAGAAACAACCAAGCCGTGCACTAAGATTCTTGGGAGTGTTATCCCTCTCCCAAGTTTTAGGATGCTCTTAGGATGCTCTCTTATACACCCACAAAGCCCCGCCCACTACGGACAGGTGTGGTACCACAAATTCTACCAGACGTCTGCATTATGAGCAGTTAAAAAAAACCCTAATCATCCTCAGCACTTGGCAGGGTAATTCAGAAGACCAAACTACCCTGGGATGAGAGAACTCGTTGTTTTATAAAAGGAAATGGTACCCCTGACCGTTAGGTCCAGTTGCGGATGACTCTGGGGTTGAGGTGCTCATCTCGCTTTACTGGCCGAGGGAGCTGGCGTACAGTAATGTGGCCAGCATGACTAAGCTGCTTCTGGCGAACCAGAGCAGCACATGGAAGCGCCGTTTACCTTCCCGCTGGAGAAATAGTTGAAGGAGGGACAGCAGGGAAAAATATATGCCGATGTGAAATGTGCAGGCTTCTGTAAGAGAGATCACAAGACGAGTAGTACTGTAATAATAATTATGACTTTATTTATTTTATTTGTAAAATTATTTATATGCTGCCTTTTGGGTCCCAGCCCAATATCATAAAAGCTCAATAAATACAGTCATCTAAAGCAATCAAAATTAACAAAGGCATCATCATTAAGAAATATTTAAAAGGCCAGTGAAAACATTTACAAAGACTAGTAAAAGACTTACTGCACTCTTCAGTATGCCAGGTGCCTCACAATTCTTAGCCATTTGGTTAGAGGCATACATACGTGTGGTAGGTGCATTTTGTAAGACAGTGTTCGTGGAAGACAATCTTACTCGGGCTACAAGTGAAAGCCAAAGAAGAAGAAGAAGAAGAAGAAGAAGAAGAAGGCGGCAGCTGTGGAACAAGGAAGCCAAAATGATTTTGTTATCTAAATATGGGGCTCCATTTTCTTCTGTCTGCTCTGGGTGAATTCTGGCACAGAATCTTCAAACAAATGCTCTGGAAGAGGCCCACTGAAACATGTGCAACTCCTTAGGAGCAAACAGCTTGAAGATGATAGCCAGAATTGATAAGTAGAAGTTTGGTATAGAAATTGAGAGTAGATAGAGAGAAGACCCTCCAAGACCCTCTAGATCAGTGGTTCTCAACCTGTGAGTCCCCAGATGTTGTTGGACTACAACTCCCATCATCCCTAAGCTCTGGCCTTGCTAGCTAGGGGTGATGGGAGTTGTAGTTCAACAACATCTGGGGACCCACAGGTTGAGAAAGGCTGCTCTAGATGGTCATTTAACCTGTGCTGACCTTCCTTAGACCAAACTACTATGCTTAGGGTTGCTGACCTCATTTCCTTCTCCCTCCTTCTCCATGCCTCTCTCTTGAGGGGAAACATCAATTTTCGGATCTCTCTCCATCCAAGGGTGGCAATTTGAATAAAATATGGGGGGGGGGCAAGTAAGCCCCATGCTGCATAATCATTCAGAAGACATGGCACATGCACATTTTTTGAATGGCAATGCCCATCAACTTGGGGGGCCCTTGGCCCCCTCAAATATTTTATTTTACGGGCCAAAAGGACCTTGGCTGCTAGGAGTTGACTCCTAGGTCTCCCTCCATGCTGCAAGAACAAGCAGGGCCTGTTAGCTAGAACTAGGGATCTTTCTTATCAAATATGTATTTATTGTATGTATGTATGTATGTATGTATGTACAGTGGTACCTCGGGTTACATACACTTCAGGTTACATATGCTTCAGGTTACAGACTCCGCTAACCCAGAAATAGTACCTCGGGTTAAGAACTTTGCTTCAGGATGAGAACACAAATCATGTGGCGGCAGCAGGAGGCCCCATTAGCTAAAGTGGTGCTTCAGGTTAAGAACGGACCTCCAGAACGAACTAAGTACTTAACCCGAGGTACCACTGTATTGGAGAACAGCCTTTACCAAAGGTGTCATGGACCACCATGATCAACTCCCACCCAGAAACCTACGTCTCCATTCTGGAAGGCCGTGTGGATCCAGAATTGGCCTCCACAGTCACTTATGGACTCACTGTTAAGACTGTGTTCATGGAAGACAATCTTACTCGGCTACGAGTGAGTGCCAAAGAAGAAGAAAAAGATTTCTTGCAATGAATGTAGCTTTCTTATTTTCCAAACTCAGGGTCTCAGTGTGATTATACCGAGGGCAAAGTGTGCTCCTCCAGCAGGAATTTCAGTTTTCAGTTCAGCATCAGCCAGCATTTTAACTCCAAAGTCCAATATCTTATACGCCCCCACACAAGTACATACTGAAATTTTTAATCCTTAACATCATTTTGCATTCATCCAGTAACCTATACATTCCTTTCAACTGCTGCCAAGAAGCATAAAGCGTGTTCTGCCCCTACAGGGGTCAGTTATTTAGTGACAGCAATTCTCTGTGTTAGTATTAGGTAGAAGGAATAACAATGCTTCCCCTTTAAGGAAATATAGTGCTTTCTCCCCTTTTTAGACCCCAAGGCAGGTTGGGAAATGTAGGCACAGCCATAGTCTACTTTCTGTTGGCTCTGCCAGAGAGCGGGGGTGGGGGGGGACCTCTGGCAGTGGCCAAAGCAGGAAGTAACCTCCCTTCCTCCTTCGTAATCTAGTAGCAGTCTAGTTATGGCAAACCCAAGAGAGGCGAACTGATTTCGTCCTTACTGTTCAGTCTGGAGATTTCTCTCTTTTTCTGGATAGTATTAACAAAACTCCACAAAGCTCTCATACATAGATTTACTGAAGATAATATAATCAAGGCACATGTAGAAATATTACTCCCATTCCAATAGGCTGTTGTATGGTTCTGAATGAAGGTGATTAGAAACTCTTTATGAAGTCACTGTGGAGCTCTGTAAAGATGAATTGAGCCAATAGTGTGAAGTGGAATTTCCAGGGTTCAAATCCTAACTCAGCAATTGACTCAGATAAAGGGTCCTTAAGCAAGCCATTGTTCTTCTCAAAGGAGCCAGCTCCTAGGGACCAATATCCAAGGTTCCTTCTCTCCCCTAATATTTTTTTTGAGAGGGCCAGCCCCCCCCCCAAGTTAATGGACATTGCCATTCAAATGGTGTGTGCACACCGCGTCTTGTGATCGATTATGTTGGGTGGGGCTTATCTCAGTCCCTCCAATATTTTATTCAAGTTGGCATCCCTGGTTTGTTTAGTCTTGGCTGTGGGCCACAACCCCATACACATGTACCTGGGAGCTCAACACAACTTATGAGGAAACATGTATGAGGTATTACAAACCTACCTTACAATTATTCTAATGCTTGTTGAAATCAGAAGTGAAGTGATTCAAAAATTTAAAACGTATTTTGTAGATGTAGTGTTTTCCTGTTATCAAAGAAGACTCTAACTAGCTTTTGAAGGATGAAATATATATTTTATCCACTGAAACGAATCAAAAAGGGGCAGGGGCAGTGGAGGTTAGGATACACCAGGGTGCATTAGCTGGAGTTACATCTCTTCTCAACAGTAAATAAAAATTAACCACACTACCCTTTTAAAAAATATATGAAATGTCTTCAATGCAGTTTTCTAAAGGAAGTTAGCTCTCTCTCTCTCTAGCAAAGAACATTCCTGACAAAGGAATGTTGGTGTGTGTGATAACCTGTCCCCAGATCCAGAAAGTGCTGGTGTGAATTCTAACACTACATAAAAACTTGGCGTTTCTCAGAACTCCCCATAAAATGAATGTAAAAGAATTGCTACCCCCAATTCATCTGCAGCTTTACAATTTTTGCAGCTTCTAGGGATGACTCAGCAAATCTTCCTCCATCATCTCAGTAACTGGAGCTTCAGCTGAAAACTCCAGTCTCTAGACACCCGTGTCAGCGACACCTGACGCAGCAAAATCATATACTGCCGAGTCATAAGTGATGCTCCGAGGAGTCTGAACTGAGGGCGAAATCCTGATCCATTAAATTTAGTGGGATCGCCATTAGCTTTAATGCGAGCAGGACTTCAGCCAAAGTGAATTAAAGTCAGTCGAAGGATAATGTTTTCGTTGATGCAGCACAATATTTGTGGTGTTGATCTTGTTTCCTTCCCCCACCCGCAGTACTGGAATTACGACGAATTCATATCATCTACCAAAAGATTATAAATATTGAGTGCCGTCCTCCCCCTACCCACCAAGCCTCAACCTTCACCGGTTCCAAATGTGTGACCCAGATGTAACCATTTCCATTTACACCTGGAGTGTTGAAGTAGACTAGTTAATTAAATACAAACTAAAGCAGAATTAAACAGCTGTAATAGCGTTATCTCACAATAAATCTCTCCCAAGAAATAATCGAGATCCAATCCCGCTGGGAATCTTGTATCTAACAAAGTATGCAAAATATGTGTCTAACTTGCTCCCCTAGTTTGGAAATAGAGACCCCCCAAATAGTTTATTAGCTCAAGGAATAGGGGCAACTTAGTGGGAGCCCCAACTTGTGGGCTTCCCAGAAGCACATAGCAGGCCACTGTAGAAAAAAGTTCTATCAAGTTAAATAGAGTTCCTTGCCAAATAAGTGTGTACTGTACAGGACTGTGGCTTTAGAATACATCCTTATACATACCTACCCAGGTAAATCTGTATAGAGATGTAGCCTCAACCTGATCCAGCAGGGTTATTTTTCTTATTACCTTTATATTGACCCTGTAACGTTATAGACTCTTTAGAGTCCCATGGACTGCAAGAAGACCAAACATATACATTCTGAAGGAAATCAGCCCTGAGTGCTCCCTGGAAGGACAGATCGTGAAGCTGAGGCTCCAATACTCTGGCCACCTCATGAGAAGAGAAGACTCCCTGGAAAGGCCCCTGATGTTGGGAAAGATGGCGGGCACAAGGAGAAGGGGACAACAGAAGACGAGATGGTTGGACAGTGTTCTCGAAGCTACCAGCATGAGTTTGACCAAACTGCGGGAGGCAGTGGAAGACAGGAGTGCCTGGCGTGCTCTGGTTCATGGGGTCACGAAGAGTCGGACACGACTAAACAACTAAACAACAACGACGTTATAGAAGGTAATGTAGAAAATGGACCCAGATCTCCAGGTGCTATGGCAGAAGGTTGCTCCAGATCTGGATGATCCACTCCCAATTGTTTAAGGATAGCAATAACAAACAGGCTCTTTCCACCCCCTTTCTCCCCTAAATCAAGTTGCTGAAACAAATACAGGAGTGTGGTGCGAAAGGATTGTGAGCTCAGCGCTTGAACCAATTCCTAGGCTGAGTTTAAAAAGGCATCTTGTCCCTTAATTATGTTTCTCTTTTCCTCCCCCCATTTCACACCTGGCTTGGGTTGGTGGATCTCGAGGTCCTGGTTAAAAAACGAAACAGATCCGTTAATACTAAAGGTTTGTCCGCACCTACCACGCAGGGCTGTTGCACGGTTTACTCTACAGCAAGCTGAGGTCCACGAAATGCTCTGAGCCCTGGAACTCGCTATATAAAATTATTGAAGGATAACTAAACAGCATCGAATGTACTTTTAGACGTCGGCGCAGAATGCGTCCTTGTGCTTTTCTGGTTTTTGCAGCCCCGCTGCTTTCCAAAAACAGCCTCCGCAGAAGGAGGGAAGAATCATTTGTCCGACTCAATCGCTCTGGGGCTAAGCTTTACTCGGGGCTCAGGGCACTGGCTGGAATAAGGTGAACTAGCTCTTTATTCGTCAGGTACAGAGAGCTCCACGCGCTAATCAAAACTGTGTTGAAAGGCTCCCTTTGGAAACAGTACGCTGGGCTCAAGGCCAATCTGGATTTGACGCAATGAAGGATTGCAACGACGGTCGCTTCCAAGTTTCAGCGTTCAGCAGGGTTGCAAAAATTATATAAAAAATAAAAAAAATAAAAAATTAGAGGTAATCCCCCACCCCCGTCAGGAACCTTTACAAGGGAGAACAGCCACCCCGCCCCAACAATCATGGATTGGCTTTTAATTACTACGGGGCAGGCTGAGTTTAGAAAGCGTTTGGGGCTGTGACAAGGACGATCGCTTTCGGCCTTGTTGCTACAGCCAAAAGAAAGGATTTATGGTGATGATTCATTTATTCTATACAGCACCTTCAAAGTACTTGGCGTTATGTAAGAAAAAGAAAAAAATAGCTGTCCGCAGTCCCGAAGAGTTATCAACCTAAACTATGAAAGTAGGGCAGGTAGGGAAGAGAAGATTACTTTCTTCAGGAGAGACTGGTTAGGAGGAGATCCTTTCTAAATATGCAAAGATATTCTATTATATGGGTAACTTCTCATGTGGCCAGATTTAGGTTTGATGTGGCCCTAAGCTCCTGAAGGTAATGGGGCTCTTTATATGTCCACATATAAATTGTCCTTTGTCCACATCAAATTGTCACTGTTTTTTTGTGTTGAATATATGCTGCATGGTAATTTATGGACCTAGTAGGTATCTAAAGCCATTTGCACATAACAAAATATGTATTTTATCAAAGTAATTGTTGAACTGAAATACAATTAAGAAGTATATTAATAGTGAAGGGATGCGGGTGGCACTGTGGTCTAAACCACTGAGCCTCTTGGGCTGCTGATCGGAAGGTTGGCAGTTCAAATCCCCTTGACGGGGTGAGCTCCTGTTGCTTGGTCCCAGCTCCTGCCCACATAGCAGTTCGAAAGCACATCAAAGTGCAAGTAGATAAATAGGCACTGCTCCAGTGGGAAGGTAAATGGCGTTTCTGTGCGCTGCTCTGGTTTCACCAGAAGCAGCTTAGTCATGCTGCTTAGTCATGCTGGCCACATGACCCGGAAAAACTGTCTGCGGACTAACGTCGGCTCCCTTGGCCAGTAAAGCAAGATGAGCGCCACAACTCCAAAGTTCATGAATGGACTTAACTGCCAGGGATCCTTTACCTTTTTTATATTAATAGTGATTTTTTTTGGGAGCCCCCAAGAGAGTGGGGCCCTAAGCTATAGCTTGTTTAGCTTATACGTAAATCCAGCACTGGCTTTGAGCTTCCTGGAGCTGTTAATAGTTAATAATTTATTTTATTTACTATAGCACACTAGTGGTTCTCTTGTAGCAAACAGTCTGGGAAGTACTGGATTGTGGGCTTAAGCCAAAAACCTTACAGGAAAAAGTCATGTTTGCTATATTCCCCCTTCCTCCGAGGTGACCTACATTCCAGCCTGCCATACATGGCTGCAACCAGGGGTTTAGGGATCCTTTTTGTGGGGAATGGAGGTCTTGCCCTGCGACTGCAAAACTCCAGGCAGGGTGGGATCTGTCACACAGCTGGCAGGTGGGCATACATCCTGGCAGAACACAAATGGTGCAGGCTGCTGTAGGATAAAGCAGGCATAGGCAAACTCAGCCCTCCAGATGTTTTGGGACTACAACTCCCATCATCCCTAGCTAACAGGACCAGTTGTCAGGGATGATGGGAACTGTAGTCTCAAAACATCTGGAGGGCCGAGTTTGCCTATGCCTGGCATAAAGCAAGGTTTGCCAATCTTTGCCCCTCCAGATCTTGCTGGACTCCAGCTCACAACATTGCTGACAGCAGGGCATGATGGCTAGAGCTGATAGGAGTTTATCAATATCTGGCAGTTAGCCCAGCCCCCTTTCCAGGTATAAAGCAAGGCAGGTGACAGTGACCTCAGAGAAGATGCCACAAAATATAGTATTTGTTGTTTAGTCATTTAGTCGTGTCCGACTCTTCGTGACCCCATGGACCAGAGCACGCCAGGCTCTCCTGTCTTCCACTGCCTCCTGCAGTTTGGTCAAACTCATGTTGGTAGCTTTGACAACACTGTCCAACCATCTCATCCTCTGTTGTCCCCTTCTCCTTGCGCCCTCCATCTTTCCCAACATCAGGGTCTTTTCCAGGGGGTCTTCTCTTCTCATGATGTGACCAAAGTACTGGAGCCTCAGCTTCACGATCTGTCCTTCCAGTGAGCACTCAGGGCTGATTTCCTTCAGAATGGATAGGTTTGATCTTCTTGCAGTCCATGGGACTCTCAAGAGTCTCATAGTCAAGGTCATTGAACCCAGGATGACTTCAGAGTGATCTATGCTGTGATTTCAGAGTGATCGGCTTTGCTTTAATCTGCACAGAATGGCAGAAGTGTATATGTTGCAGTGCTGTGTATGCTTAATGTACTTGACGACGCATTGCTTTTCTGGATTAATTAGTGGTACAAGTTTTCACATATATATGGCTTGGAACAACTCCGCAGAACTTTGTAAGCCTATAAAATGATTTCAGCAAAGCAGGGGTGGTTTGCTTTTGCACCACTGGAACTGAATGCATTTCTAGCCATGGGCTAGAAGAATGTACTTGCCACACAATATGCCCATGTTTCTCACTGGGAGAGGTGTCTACAAAATTCAAATTTTCTCCCATAGTTAGTGGGGTACTGCAAAGGCCAGACAAATTGCTGGTGGGAGCCAGCGCGTTATGGTGGTTGGATTATTGAGACTGGGACTTGGAGGACCAGGGTTTAAATCCCCACTCAGCCATAGAGCTAACTGGGTGACCTGGGGCCAGCCACTATCTCTCAGCCCAACCTACTTCACACGGTTGTTGTGAGGATAAAAGGGAGAGGGGGAAAACCATGTATGCCCCTTTGAGCTCCTTGGAGGAAATGTGGGGTATAAATGTAGTAATCAGAGCAGCAGTAGTAAATAACAACAACCGCAACAACTACAAATGACTTGTGGGCTGCAACAGGCTTTGCCTGACATAAAAATAAAACTGCGTAATTATCCCAGAGAATTCAAATCTCAAAACAAAAGTATTAGAAAAAATATGCAGATTCACACATTGCAAAATGTACTTTAAAAACAAAAGCAACTTTCCTTCCTCTTTGTGCTCTCTCTCTTTAAAACTGATGAGTCCCTCCTCTGTTGGACATAGAAAATAATAATAATAATAATAATAATAATAATAATAATAATAATAATTTATTGTTTATACCCCGCCCATCTGACTGGGCTTCCCCAGCCACTCTGGGCGGCTTCCAACAAAATATTAAAATACAGTAATGCATCAAACATTAAAAGCTTCCCTAAACAGGGCTGCCTTCAGATGTCTTCTACAAGTCAGATAGTTGTTTATTTACTTGACACCTGATGGGAGGGCATTCCACAGGGCGGGCGCCACTACCCAGAAGGCCCTCTGCCTGGTTCCCTCTCACTTGGCTTCTTGCAGTGAGGGAACCACCAGAAGGCCTTCGGCGCTGGACGTCAGTGTCCTGGTAGAATGATGAGAGTGGAGGTGCTCCTTCAGATATACAGAAGAAATTATTTGTAAGGGTAAAACAACAATTCTGTGCTGCCTTGGAAAGTATTTGACTTGTACCCAGTGCTGTGCCAGCAGGGTTCAGCTATATCACGATGCAACTTCCATGTCTTCTTCCCTCCCCATAACCCCCAAAATCGGCTCCTGAAAGCCCTACTACCCTTCAGAGCTGATTTTGAGGGTGTAGGAGTGGGGCTGAAGGGGAAACGAAAGGAACAGGAGGTCCCAGCTTGTGTACACAAGCCCCTTGCCATGCAGCCCTTTTTATCCAAGGAATTTTTATTTTTTTTACCTATCAACTTTTATTTCCCATTTTTCTTTATTTCCTTTTCTTGGGGAGGGAAGCACTGCATCTCCCCATAAGATGAAAGACCACATTGAAATGCAAAGCATGATGATGATTGCTATACTTTACTTTTTATATGCTAGGTGTTGCAACATTACAGACAACCTTTGAGAACCATAAATGCCCATGACTGCATCAAAAGAAAGTTACAAGGAGAAACCAATAATTATTGTTGAGCAAGAGAGAGAGAGAGGAAAAAAACCCCAACAGCTCAATCAGAGGAAGCGGAAAGCCAGCCAGTTCACTTTCCTCCTGTCATTTCTTCCCGGTATGTTCTTCTCTCCACCCCAACAACAACAACCCTCCATCTTCTTTTCTAATAAATTACCAGCCATACTGTTAAACACTTTACTGGCAGCCTTTAAGAGCATTCTGTCCCCTCAATCCCTAATGCTGTGCTATCTGGCAAAGGTGTTTTTAAACAGTGGACACTAACTGTATTGATTTTTTTGTGAACTTGGAGATGAATGATAAACCTGGGTAGCTGCAGTGATTTATGGCATTTGCTATATCAGGAATGCACTTTCATATTACGCTGTTGTGGTATATACAGTCTCGGTGAACGGAAGTGATTTTTCAGGCTAATGATGATGGTGGTGATGGTGCTTCCATCAGTAAACACGGAGTTTTGCAGAGGAGCATAAGCAAGGGCAGACAAAACAATAAATAAAAGACCTACAAGTAGTACTTTGTGGTACTTTGACTGCAGTCAAACCCATACTTTTATCAGGAGACTCTGATAAAGTGGTACCTCGGGTTAAGTACTTAATTCGTTCCGGAGGTCCGTTCTTAACCTGAAACTGTTCTTAACCTGAAGCACCACTTAGCTAATGGGGCCTCCTGCTGCTGCCGTGCCACCGGAGCCCGATTTCTGTTCTTATCCTGAAGCAAAGTTCTTAACCTGAAGCGCTATTTCTGGGTTAGCGGAATGTGTAACCTGAAGCGTATGTAACCTGAAGCGTATGCAACCTGAGGTACCACTGTATTTGCTCCAATAGCTTAGAACACAAGGATCTGTGTGTGTGTGTGTGTGTGTGTGTGTGTGTGTGTGTATATATATATATATAAAAGTTCTGTCCTATTAAGCAACGAGTAGAGTCCAGAATCTGATGGGTACTTAAATGACAAAGTGATGCAGGTAGGAAGGAACGTGTTTGATTCTTAATTACACAGAATTATGGTCTAATTCCAATGCTGAGTGAACACAATGGAGTTTGCTTTGTGCTTGAAATGTAAGAGCAGTCCTGGCCTGAGTGCTCTGCCTGCCAATTAGTTTCTGGGCCCAATTCAAAGTGCTGGTTTTGACCTCTAAAGCTTTAAACAGCTCAGGACCACAATACCTTAAGGATTGCCTTTCCCTATATGAAACCAACCCAAACCCCACGATCATCTTCTGAGGCCCTTCTTCATGTGTCCCCTCAAGAGGTCTGGAGAGCAGCAACATGGGAATGGGCCTGTTCTGCAGTGGCTCCCTGTATGTGGAATGCTCTCTCAGGGAGGCTCACCTGGTGCTTGGCTGCAGGAGTTGCCAGAAGGAAGCATAAAAAACACCATCCAACCTCCTTAGGGACTTCACCACCTTCTTGACCATTGAGCCCACTACTGGTCTTCTCCACTCAATCCTCCTGCACCTGTCTTTGCATGCAGAGAAAGACCCTAACTTACCAAGGGTTTGAGACCCATCCGCTGCTGTCACCTGATTTATCCGGCCAGTCAAAGCCATTCCTGGGGTGAAACCACATAAACTGACTGTTCCCCTCTTTCTCTGCCTATGTACATATACAGGTAGCCAACAGTGCAGCTAGGTCTGGACTTCAAGCAAAAGTCCAGACTGCCCAGAGAGTGGCAGTCAATAGGGGCAGCATCATTTGGCAATCACTCATAGCAGAGTAAGATTGTCTTCCATGAACATGGTCTTAACAGTGAGCCCGTAAGTGACTGTGGAGGCCAATTCTGGATCCACACGTCCTTTCACAGTGGAGACATAGGTATCTGGGTGGGAGTTGATCATGGTGAGGGTTTGCCAAATGTGCCTTCCTCTTAAGCATGTTTCTTCCTTTCATCCTGAGTTCAAGTGTCTTCAAAGTCCACAAGACCTTTGGTAAAGGATATTCTCCAATTGGAGTGCTCACAGGCCAGTGTTTCTCAGTTTTTGGTGTTTACACTACATTTTTAAAGATTTGCCTTCAGAGAGTCTTTAAACTTCTTTTGTTGACCACCAGCACCACACTTTCCATTTTAAAGTTCGGAATAGAGTACGTAGTTACTTTGTAAGACGATAATCAGGCATCCGAACAACATGACCAGTCCAACAAATTGGATGTTGAAGAATCTTTACTTCGACACTGGTGATCTTTGCTTCTTCCAGTACACTGGCATTCATTCACCTGTCTTTCCAAATTATATGTAAATTTTTTTGGAGACACCGTTGATGGAATCTTTCAAGGAGCTGGCGATGGTATTTAGAAGTGGTCCATGTTTCACAAGCATATGGTAAGGTTGGTAGCACAATAGCTTTGTAAACAAGCATTTTGGTTTCCCTGTGAATGTCCCAGTCCTCAAACACTCTGTGCTTCAATCAAGAGAAAGCAGCATTCACAGAGCTCAAGCGGTGCTGGATTTCGGCATCAGTGTCGGCCCTTGTGGAAAGATAACTGCCCAGGTAAGAGAAGTGATTGATACTTTCCAATGTTACATTATTGAGTTGGATTTGTGGTGCTGCAGAGGGGTTGTTTTGTGCTTGTTGGTGCAGGACCTTGGTTTTTTTTTATATTGAGCAATAGGCCAAGCTTTTCATAAGCTTCTGCAAAGATATTTAGGATGGTTTGGAGGTCATCCTCTGAGTGTGCACACATTACGTTGTCATCAGCATACTGAAGCTCTGTGACGGAGGTTATGGTACCATTACTCTTTGCTTTCAGCCTACTCAGATTAAAGAGCTTTCCATCTGTTCGATATATGATTTCTACCCCGGTGGGGAATTTCTCTTTGACAATGTGTAGGATCATGGCCATGAAAATAATAAATAGAGTTGAGGCAACAACACAACCCTGTTTAACACCTGACCCCACTGTGAGTGGTTCACTTTGAGAACCATTGTTATTTGTGATTGTTGCTGCCATATTATCATGGAGGAGTTGAAGGATGTTCACAAATGTATCTGGGCAGCTGATTTTCAGAAGCACAGTCCACAGAGCATTATGAAGGTCAGGTCAATAAATGCCATATGCAGGGTTGGTTTTGCTCTCTGCATTTTTCACAAGCTTCATAGGAACATGCAAGCCCAATCACCATGACAAGGTGATGATCCAGCGAGTGAGAACGTCATACATACTAGCTCCTGGCCTGGTGTGCATATGCATTGGGGCTGATGGCACAACTTTTTAAAAACTTTTTTTGTTTTTTAATTAAAGTCAGGAGTGGTTGGCCAGGCATGTGCACCTAGTATTATTTTATTTATTTCTAAACGTATTTCTATACAGTTATGTAATAAAAAAACCAGGGGCACGGGAAGCATTAAAACATAAGAACGCAATTAAAAACAATGCAGAAAATCATTAAAGAGTATGGCTAATTATTTTCTGTTCCACCCTTCTGCCCAAAGCAGCCCAGAGTGGCTCAAAGGGCTACAAATGCTCATTTTATTATAATCATTTTACTTAAAAATATATTATCCTTTGTCTACAACAAACTGCTGCTCCCCTCCCCGCCTCCACGTCAACATGTTTAGCCTCAGGGAAGCAGAAGCAAACCCCATTTTTAAATCCCTGTAGTCTAGAGATGTTGCTATGTGTTAAGTGATTTTAACATGAGAAAGTGCACATGCTCAGATGAATTCCTTTCTTCTTCTTCTTCTTGAAATCAGCGATGCTGAAATGTTGGTGCAAAAACAAACAAAAGCAAATCAGGAATGCAGAAGCAGCTGTAAAATGGAATGGCGGGGTGGCAGGGGGAAGATGAGAATAGACCCTACTGGGCTACATGGACGGGGGGTGGTGGTGGTGGAAATAGTCTGATGAAAACTTCCTGTGTTTTGTAATAGACAAGTGGAACCTGTAATGCTGTGTTCCAGTGTGGAGTGCTCCTGTTCAGGGTTCCAGACAGACAATCCCACCATGACATCTTGCCTGAGAATTCTGCCATCCCCACCCTGTAACAGTCAGCCAGAATTCTGTGCTCACTGAGCATGCTCAGACCTCATTGAGCTGTTCTGGGGCTCTTCCTTTTAGGGTTCCCTCTTCCCCCCTTTTCATACCTCTGCAAACCATGGTGTTTTCTTCAGTCTGCTGATGGATGGCACCCGTGTTACTTCCCTAGAAAAAGAGGTGGCAGAACTTGCCATGGATGTATCCATTGTTCTCTTATAATGGCAATGGCACACACCTGAGAGGTGCCAGAACTGAGTTCTGTTGAGTTGCGGCTGAAAAAACGTCCTGGGTGGTACTGTTCAGGCTACATGGGAATTCATAAACATGGCCAAATCGAATATTCCAATGGCACCAATGGGAACTCCCTGCCATTGCGAACAGCAGGCACAGCAGGTGGGGTGTGATTCTGTTTGGGACAGTGGTTGGAGCAAAGGCTTAAAGCCCCTCTTACGTGCCTCGTGCCATTGTTCCAACCCACTCTCCCCATTTAAGAAAGAAATCATTCTTAAAAAAAAATAATTAAAGATTTTCTTGTTTTACAGAAGCATGTGTAATGTCTCTCCTATTTTTTCCATGTAACATTTTTACAAATCAGTTTCATTTGTTGAGACATGGGGGGGGGAAAGGGGGGGGGAGATGGGATGGGGTCGGGTGCAATGTTTCTATTTTGCTTAATGTATGTAGGGTTTCGTGTCAGCATTGCTCGTGCAGGTTTTCTGCTGTTCATTTGTGTTTCTTTGGTGGTGAGAGAGGTTGGGGTTGGCCTATGGTGTGGTTGTTTGTTTGTGATTGGCTGTGGTGATCTTTATTTTCGTGTGTGAGTGGGTGTTTTGGATCAGGTTAGCCATATTGATTTGTATGCTGTTGGTGGATTATTGTCATTGTCTTGTTGGGCTGTGCATGTGATAAAGGGGAGCCATACCGGGGTAAAGGCATCTTCTTCTGTTTGTCCCCGTGTCAGTTTCCGTTTATTGGTTAATTTTTCTAGTAGGGCTGTTTCCCATACTATTTAGTACCATTGGTCCATGCTTACTCCTGACAGGTCTCTCCAGTGTCTGGTTATGGTGTTTCTGGCTGCTGAAAGTAGGTGGGTTATGAGTTCTTTGTGGTGTAAATGGGCATTGTTGTCTTGGAAGATGTTTAATAGGGCCAATTCTGGGTGGGTGTCTAATACTTGCTTAGTTATTTTACATATTTCTTGTA